TACTCATTTTGATTCGAAGCATCATCTGTCTGAAACGTTATATGCCGGGATTGAACCTGCGTAGGCAATGTGATGTATTAGGTGCTTTACGGCTCCGCTAAAGTGCGCTAATATCATGGTGGCAAAAGCATTGGTAGTCTATTCGGTCTAATACTACTACTACATATATCTTGTATACGGATTATGATAGATAACGGATTATTGTGATGCTATTTCGTCAGTTTTTTGGACAGTAAGCGGCAGTATGTCATCCGTGTGAAGCCAAATAGGATGTGTGAGGTATGGCATATCTGCCCCTTGAGCGGAATTGGTTCTGCGAATCGTCGAAAAACAGGGAAGTTGATTGTGCTAAGACGTGGTGGTATAGCTGCCCCTCCTTGGGAAATCGATTGTATTAAGGCATATCTTAGGGTAGTGGCATAGCCGCCCCGTCTGGGGAAATCCATTGTATTAAGGCATATCTTAGGGTAGTGGCATAGCCGCCCCGTCTGGGGAAATCGATTGTCCCAAGACGTATCTTGGGGTAATGGCATAGCCGCCCCACCTGGGGAAATTGAATGTTCTAAAGCATATCTCGGAGCAGTTGCATAGTTGCCCCAGCCTTTGGTGTAGAATTGGTGATTCCATTATACCGTCTAGATAGCTCGTGGTGAATGGATTCATGGTGCTGCTGGAGATGCCGTATCGATTGCCGTTCATCATCATCAGTTGGGAAATTTATTGTGCTGAGGAATAATTTTGGGCGATGGCATAGCTGCCCCGGTCTATTGCGTAGAGTGGGCGGTTCGATCACACTGTGTAGATAACATGGCTTGTGATGATAGCACTCGACATGATGCCGTATCGATTGCCGTTCATCATCATCAGTTGGGAAATTCATTGTACTGAGGAATATCTTTGGGCGGTGGCATAGCTGCCCCGGTCTATGGTGTAGAGTAGGCGGTTCGATCACACTGTGTAGATAACATGGCTTGTGATGATAGCACTCGACATGATGCCGTGTCGGTTGCCGTTCATCATCATCAGTTGGGAAATTCATTGTACTGAGGAATATCTTTGGGCGATGGCATAGCTGCCCCGGTCTATGGCGTAGACTGGGCGGGTTGATCACACTGTGTAGATAACATGGCTTGTGATGATAGCACTCGACATGATGCCGTGTCGATTGCTGTTCATCATCATCAGTTGGGAAATTCATTGTACTGAGGAATACCTTTGGGCGGTGGCATAGCTGCCCCGGTCTATGGTGTAGAGTAGGCGGTTCGATCACACTGTGTAGTTTACACAGAGTGAATAACATGGCTTGTGATGATAGCACTCGACATGATGCCGTTTACTGTTCATCATCATCATCGTCATCAGTGGCCTATTGGATACCTTCTGTGTATGGCTAACACCTACAGCTTTAGCAGCGACTCTGCCTTCACTAGAGCTCCTCATTATAGTGAACATGCAGTACTTAGTCAGAAGCTGGAAGAAGTAGGCTTGCCTGCGGCTGTTGTGATTATGGTGCCCAACTTGGTCAGTGTTTCTCCTCTTGTCGAGCCGGTAAGCCGCCGCCTTCGACACCCATACTTGTGCAAGACCTTGACTCGGTATCTTACGTCTTGACGTGGACCACTGAGCGATCAGTTCAAGTCGATATCCACTGTGAGCCACGCGATCACTTCGCTCCTCCGTTTGCTGTCCATGGAAGTGGCTCGCTTGGTGCAATGCGTTGCCCAGGAGCTTGTCTTCACAGTCTTGTATCGGTGGCGATTAGGCTCGTACATTCTGCCCAGTATCGTCACTAACTTTGCCAACTCAACATTACAGGATATCTTTTCTGACGTCACCCCACTGGAAGGCTCAGTTGGACTTCGACTTAAGCTACCACGGTAGCATACATACCTCATATTGATTCATAGTGGTGGTATCAGCTCTTTCCGTGACAAGAATGCTGTCGCCGAACTGCTTCAATCAAGGACAAGAATGCTATCATCTTGGCTTGCCGCCAGCTTGCAGTATTAGCAACTACGTGTTTAGCGACCGAGATCGCCTTGTTGATCTTCCAGATCAGTTGTCAGCCGCAAGTCAGCGGGAGAGGTTGATAACAATTCAGTCAGCTGTAGTCTACTCCATCCAAATTTGTCAGCCTGGACTGATAACCACCGAAGGGTTGTAGGGATAGTCTCGCTGATACCGGTAAGTCGGCATCGGATGCCTGCTAGTGCTGGGATATAGATTCGTTTTCCTCAGCTCAGCTGAATCGGCTGAGCTCAGAAGTTCCTCACTTATTATAGAAATTTACATACGAATTCGTTTAGAAGGGTATGGAAATCAATACGAGTTTCCCAAAATTCTCTCAAGATTTTCATATTGTCATCAAGACATGTAGTTGTCCGTGTACATATTCTCTCACACCGGTCTGCTGAAAGGAGCTTGTCGAGCGCTCTCCTTAGGCGCGCCGCGTGAATCCGGCTGTTGGATGGACTTTACTCGAAAAAGCGATGAAAGCACAGGGTATGACTCGAGATGGGCCACATGGGAAGATCGTCGTTTTTGCAGCTTCTCTCAGCATCAATGCTGGGGCATGTTTCAGCATCGGACTCAGTAGAGCTGGCGACACTGAAGGTGAGCAATGACACCGGCTGCAGCTGCTGCAGTCTTCCATCAGAACCTCCCTTCCCTCGGGGATGCATGGACCTCCTCAGTAACGTCCCTGCTAAAGCTGGAGGACCTCAAGCTGGGCGAGAGTATCGCTATCTGCACGTTGGTACGTACTCGGCTAGCATAGGCATTATGGTTCTGGGCTAGGTATTGACTGTGACTTTGTACAGGAGAACTTAGAGGAAGAGGAAACTGCGGCGCTATTGGACGAACGTAATGGATCACTGAGTAGCTGACCGAGTTCACCGAGATGCTCCTCAGTTGTGAACCTCCGTCACACTCTGGACCATATCGTCAGAGCTGGTCTTATCGAGATCACTACAGCGAGTCGTGTTGGAGCTAGAGAAGTAGTTGATAAAATTCGAGAAGTTCAAGTGGTTAATGCATGATCGGAAGAAATTATTTTCGCTCAGCTGTCAGTGTTGAGTAATTGGGACATGCCCGCTGGTTCCCATAGGGCATGGCATGGTTTGAATCTCATACTTTGAAGCTCTGAAACTTTGAGAGCTTTATGACGGATGTCTTCTGTGCGTGGTATTAGAGGTAGACTGTACGAAAATTTTATGAAGTTTATCTGTGTTATGGTATTATATGAATGCAGTATGGAAGTGTAGGGGAGTAGCCCCAGTTTGCGCTTTTATCTTCAAGAGATTATACTGATATATATTTCAATATAAGGTTATCTATTATATAGATATTTATCATATTATAGTATACATATTAACCTAATATACCAACTAATATTAATAGATAACATAATAATATTTGTGAGATTCCTCCATCAGCAGTGAGGAATTTGGGTGTTAGTCAGGGAAACGGCATCATCTCACACCCTGATCGAGACATCATTCAATCCGCTGGGTTATGAGGCTCCAGTAGATTGTTAATAGACCTTAGATGGTTTCGGCAGTCAATTGCTCCGTGTAGCGCTTCCTGTGTGAGGATATTTCAGAGAACAATCCGAATATCGCAATGATTTATGCGGCATTCAAAAGACGTTTCAACTTCTTGGGGGAGGGCCCTTTTGCAACGCCGTGTGAGATGGGTAGAGGTTGCAGTAGAAAAGCGTATTTGAGCTCCATCGAACAGTACATCATAGTGATGATGTACAAACCTGACAGTGTGTATGCACGCCATGATTAATCTGAGTACATTTCTTTGTCTGTGAGTGGTTACATTGTAGTGGGGAGTGTTTACTAGTAGTACTAGATTAATTTGTGTGCTACACTACTACCGGTTGACATGCAACATTAATGAAGCACTAAATCACAGTAGTTTACAGAGAGTATTTGAACTCTATCATTGATGAATCGTAATCGTGTTTCGTTCCGGAAATACGGGCGTGCGCTAAAAAAGTTGCCTTTTGATGACCGTAGGATCGATCCCCGGTCACGGCAGTTCTCCATTTCGAGTTCAAGAAGTGTCTATTTCTCTCACAGTTATCCTCTTTTGTCTTCGATTACTGTATTAAACCCACAAAGCTGTGAATGATGTACATCTCAACTAAGTCTGTATTTATAACAGTAGCCATGTGGCTGCTACTCATGGTGGGCTACGGACGAGTCGATGCGGTAAGTCCCTTTATGAACAAAAAGGGGTGTTCGATAGACCTTTCCTGAATTTGACGACTTCGATACGATCCTGAGACTGTTCTTGAAACTCAGGAGAGATCTATCGAACAGGCGTAATGAATTGTCATATTCGTGGAGAATTTCTTATTGTATGTGTTGGCCTACAATGGAACGCCACAAACGGAAGCCACAGAGATTTTCGCTTTTACACTGGACGAAAATCTACTATGAATCATAGCACGATTCCTTGTGTTTCGAATAGTTGTATGATATTGGAATGAAAAAACATCTGGGAAACAGCAGATTTTCATAGAATTCTCAACATGAGAACGCACTGACATTTATAATCAGATTTTTGTGAGGGTCCCGAAATAGACAATTTCCTCGTTCAATTTTAGTAGAGTTTCGATGGATATAATTCCCTCGTATAGTATCTCCTATGGAGTTTCACCCTTGTGATATGAAAAACACTAGTGAAAAATATAGCGCAAATTTCGGGTTTTTCACCAAGTTTTACGCCACTTCACTTAAACGGGTTGTGAAACTCCATAGTAACTACTTCATCAATAGAGTTCTGCTCAGGCGGAAGAATCAGCTGGAGGAGCACCAGTGAATGACAAGTCGGGCGAGCTCGATGGTGGTATTCTCGTATACAACGACTTAGCCCATCGTGATGTCCTCTGCCGTTATATACAGAGTAATAGAGACTTCTGGCGTGGTGGACTTCGAATGAGCTCCTTTGGTCAGTTCCAGCGGAGGCGAGGCGAATTCGTGCGACTGCGGCTGTGATCGGCCTCACTGGAAATCCGAATTTATTTTCGGGCTTTGATGAACAGAAGTTACGCGATAGAATTTACAAGGAAGCGGCACCGACGAACCAGGGAGGATATCATATGATACACGACACGTGGGGAATAATTTTGTGGCGCGTGACGATTCATTGGTGTTTTTATTGGGTTTAGATACTTCGTTCCTAAGTCATCGGATGGGCGCTTTTATCTTTGTGTGACGACCTTTGCTACACAGGGGACTGATTTTGTAGGGGATAGAAGATGACCTTGCCGGGGATCGAACCGGAGTCCTATGGGTGTTCGTACCAGGTGCTTACCGGAGTGGTCTCGAACGCTGCTGAGTTCGGTGTGGAACCAGTGATGCCGTTGCTTATGGAGTACCCTACCGTTCAGAGTGTCGAAGCATTTGGTCGGCATCGGGAATATAGGGTAATGAAGGAAAGCTGTGGCGCATAGTATTTTCCATGTGAATTGGTTTCCGTACATAAACCAGGGCTCGGGCGCTCATCTGGGAGCTGCTGAGTTCGCAGTCATACTTTTATATGCACGTAGTCAACTACATGTGTAGGTGAAATTTGTGGAAATTTTGAGGAAATTTACATTGGTTTCTGTGCGCTTCTACCGAAATTGTATGTAAACTTGCATCATTAGTGAGGAAACTTGTGGACTCTGCTGAGGAATACGAACATGCAATTTCAACACTGCTCTATACTGGCTAATACCTGTGTAGTGAACGGAGTGGTCGGAGCACTGTGAGTGCATATGAGAACTATGGAGTGTATATATTTTTTTCGTAGAGCAGCAATGTGATCCTCTATAGAAAAGTATGTATTTTTGAGTACATGCGAACTAAAAATACAGTAGCAGTGTTGGAGTATATGTTTGGTTTCCGCAGCTGAGCTTGGGAGTTTCGGCACTATATTATGATGATTCACGTACGACTTAGAGAAGGAGTGTATAG